GAAAAACAACCGTAATAACCACAACCGCTGTGAATCAGAGGAACCAGGCTCCAGTCCCACCAAGGGAGGCTACGTGAGAAAGCTGTGTGTCTACATACAACAGTTGTTCAAGCACCATTTCTCCTAAATTTCTATTTAGGAAAATACATTCATCTGTATTAAACTCTTCCTCCATCCTGAAAACCATTCAATCGTAAAAGAAGGAGCTGAGGAGAAAAACATTAAGTGACCAAAACACCCAACTAGCGTTACAGAAGTTCTCTCACCTTAGTGAAGGTCCCAAATTTACTAACGAGATTTGGTTTCGTACAGAATACTGCCTGTAGATGTGGATAAAAGTTAGAAATTATCTGAATAGACACGAGGCCTATTCAACTAATGCATTGTTTATATTTATCCAAAATTAGTTTTGTCATCAGCCATTCGGTGGCCTGGCACGTTCTCCATCTTGCAGAAAACATTGCATTCGAAACTCAAGCAATCACAAATCACCTTGCTGAATTAAGTAGGGCTGCCTTACTAGTACTGTAATAAACCTAATACATTTATACAGCATCTACATTAAGTCCTAGTTATGCAGAAATCCCTTGCCTTCAGATTTTTACAAATCTGTATGCCAGACGTGCTTCTTTTGAAAGAGAACACAAATCACCTGTTCTGTCAAAATGAGCTCTTCTGGTCATAGTTGCACCACATTAAAATGCAATAATCCCATTCTTTACCTAGACACATACTTTGAAATAAAATAAATTAAAAAAAAAAACCCAAACACAAAGCTTAAGTTTCTTTGCAGATCCACCCTTCTGCCTCCAAACCAACCCGGACCACAATAGTCTGGTGAAGGCTACTATTTACTACTAAAATGGGGGGGCAAGGACAGGAGGAAATCAGAAAAACAGAGAAAGAGCACACCATATAGAAAATGTCAAATATGTCAAAACATTCATGAATACCAACATCTCCCTCTGCACCATAACCAGCTGTAAAGGTTACTTAGGGCTAACGTTTCAGCAAGTGCAGATTATGCAGCAGTGGGTTTACTTATACATAAAAAATCAGCTACAGGTGCATCTGAAGTGCTTTTATGTATGCAGCCAGTACAGGGATTTCTAACACTAAAGAAAAGTCAGAAGGGTAAAATCACGTAAAACACAAATTTTCTAGCTTTGACTACCCTGGACATAAATTCCTCCTGGCTGCTCTCTATGTATGTGACATATGCAATGAGGATAATTAGGTAAAGGACTAAGAAAGCAAGTGTTGCTGATTGCATTCCAAAACTAATAAAGCTCCTACACGGGTCTCGTGCCTGCAGTAATTCATCTTCCCAGCGCCACGTTCAGGAAAGGCGGTTTCAGAATACGCCGCGACACTTTCTTGTCCCTCAGTCACCAATTGTGAATTATATCAGAATTACTGCAGACAAGCACAGTTTTATGGAACTTGAAGCATAACACATGCAAGGCATACGTTATGTTACCCAGGCCCTCAGGTAAACGAAGCTTAAATTAAATGTCATGAGTTGAATACGATGTACCGTATAAGGAAACACCTGACCTGGATTCACCCCCCGTTTTGTTTGTCAAGTTTGTAAACCCTAGCATGTTTTGGAAAATTATGCCTTAGCGCAATCTTCTCATCCTTCCACATCAGGAGGAGAAAGGTGTCCGGCTCTGGAGAGGAACCATGAGACAGTCCACAACGTAACGGCGTGGGCTTCACTGGAAATAGAAATGTGGCTTTTAGATAAATAAAGCAAACAGACTCCATTCTTATGCATCGGTGCACCGAAGGAGTAGCTCTGTAGAAGACAGTGCAATTGTATGAGCAAAAAAGTTAGGTTCAAATCAGCCCAGCGGCCTGACAATGAACTACAAAAAGGAAATCCTGCGGGAACAAAACAGAACGGGTTTTGTCTGCCTTCTCACACAAGCTGAGCAGAAAAAGCAGTAACAAATTTCATAATCAGCACGGAGCTGAAATAACTGAGACGGTTACTATCTGAAATACTGTATGCCTGCAAAAGTAAAATCTTTTAATAAACCCTCCCATTGATACTACCATTTTAAAATTATTCCTTCAGCTCCATATTCTGCGTTGAGCTTCCACCCCAAACATTTTTCTAAATGTCTCTCTACAGTGGCTTGTTTGTTCTGCCTTTTTTTCTTTCTTTCCTTCCTTCCAAGGGGTCTGCAAAACAGGGAAACCAGCGGACTCCTCTCTCGGGGAGCACAGGGACTTCAGCAGCCCTTCCCTCTCCAGCTCGCCCTGCCTGCTGGGGGCGAACGCCCTCAAGACGAGGGAGCCCCTGACACCTGGACGCGGTACCTCCCGTGGCTCCTAACCAAACCCGTCCCGGAGGCTCCCCTCCCGGCAGGCAGCGTTCCTCC